ACCACGTCTTCTTCTGATGAATATTGGTCGTCAACCGAATCATGCAACTCTTTTATGTACATAAAATGGTCACATATAACACTCAATGACGAGGCCCTCCGGGCCTAAAATATAAAAATTTATTTATTTATATTATTTATTTATATATGCCCGGAAGTAGGTGCATCACTGCAAGATGACTCACCATCTATGACACTGTGGGAGGCGAATCCGCGTTCCTCCATGTCGGCGACGCGTTCCTCCTTTTGCATGTCTGATTGGAAGCCGAGGACAGACCACCTGTCCTTATCCGCATCCTCTCCGAACACGAGGAATGCCAGAGATGTTTTCGGATAGGGTGTGAATGGACAGGGCGGCTTGTCCCTGCCTGCATACGATATCCACTGTTCGGCCCGGGTCAAAAAACGACTTTTAGGAGGAAATTATGACATATACTTACCTGCATTCGGCGTCCTTTTTAAATATTTGATGATTGTCTACCAGGTGTGTGCGGAATTACAGACTGGTCTGAGACCAGCAAACCTCCTTCAGCATTGTAAGAGCATACACCACCAGCCTCTTCTGATCAATATCTGAACAGGGGCACATACAACGCGAGATAGCCCCAAAGACGTCTTCCTCGGAATCCACGGACAAATAATCGCTCCGAAGAAGGGTAAGCACTGTTTCCGCTGGCAGGCGGACAAAGAGTTCAGTAGAGATGAAAGTTTGAAAGTGCTCTCGCATTTGACAAATGCAGGACTTTATTAATAGTCCGATATCCAGAGATCTGGCGAAATCCCACGTAGTTGCAAGGTTGTCTGAATTAACCCTTTACAACGGGCAGCTAGACAGGTATAAGCGGGAAATATTTACCTCTTAGCCATGAAGGTCGCTCCTGCATTCTCAATGGCAGGATTTTTCATCATTATTGCAAAACAAATAATGTCCGTTACAGTCGCTTGCGTCAGCTCCATTTGCCCGGTGTAAATGTAATTGACAAATGAAGTTGCAAGACTATGAATTGCGTAAACAGTACGACCTAATTATTTACCTCAGAGGTTCTGCTGGCCACCTTAGGACTGAATTATCCTCCCTGTTTGGACCACGGAGTGACTCTCGCAGGGAAGGAATGCGGGCTGCCATAATTATCCTGTGAGCATGGAGCACAGCACAGTCCTTAACCTGATAGACGCAAAGGTCATCGTAGACAGCCGTAAAATCAAGAGAGATTACCTCTATTGTCAAGTCTTTGATTTCATCCGCCAGGCCAATTTCGTTCAACTCAGGACAGCTGCGAATCAAGGGAACTTCGTCCTTGATGACTTCAGACGGCGGGAGTGCATTTTCGTTTGACCACCAAAGTTGCAGAGATTAATGCCAGCCAGGACTGTGAGCGCTGCTTTTATAGTGTCCTTATACTGTGCGTGCGCTCATACGCACGCACGCACGCACTGATGCACCAGCGGTTGTGATTGGTCGAATACGGCAGACGAAAACGCGAACGGTGGTACAGAGCAGGGGGCGAACTGTTGGCAAGGCACCAGCAGTTTTGCATTAGTCAAGGCTGTACTGACTGGATTCTGCTGATGTCGAATGTTGAATGCCAATTGGGTTGGCGTATGACCTGTCAGAAAAGAGAAAACCCTAGGCGCGGGAATTGAATCTTAGGCCGTAAATTATGATTCG